CTGGTATTATTGGCAAACCTTTAAGTTTCAGAAGCTGCTTTTATTTCCTTTGTTGGTTATGACCAAGAGTAGGAAACAGAATGCCATAAATCCTCGTTTCCAGGGTTACCTTCTTGCTGCTGATAACAGGCAGGAAATTAAAACAATCTGTGATAGTGTTTTGTTCTTATTAACCACAGGCGGTAGTTTGCAGATATGCTGGAGCAAAACATAAATATAGCAGGGAAACTTCATTATTGAAGAAAAATGATTTCTCCAGATCAAGTTTATAGTCTGGGTTCATTTTATTTTATTTTTGAAAGATTTTATTTGTTTATTTTTTGCATAGAAAAATTGGAGTATAGGACAAAGGTATAGGGGGTGAGAGGATTCACCAGAGGCAGAGTGGGAGCAGAACAGGTGGATTTACTGAAATGCACTGCTGAGGGGGAGCACTGGGAGGGACAGGAGAGGTCTGCTGTGCCGGATGTGGGTCAGCATCCTGGCTTGGGATCAAACTCAGGCCACAGTGGTCATAGCATGATAGTGTTGAGACTTAATCCCTAGGTCACCAGGGAGGACCTAGGCTGGATCATTTTAATGAAATGGAATAGGCAGCATATTCCAGTACAAGACAAACTGTACAAGGTGACTATTTTTTTCCCTTTTTGGTTTAATTTTGAGACTGTAGAACATTTACATGATTTCAAATCCAAAACTACATAACAAGTTAGATGTCTCATTTCCATCCATATCCTCCTTACCTGTTTTTAGTCCTTTGTAGGTTATCATTTCTATTAGCCTTTTGATTTTGGCTCCTAGTGTTTCTTCTTCAAGAGAAGCATAAAATATGTATGCATATATTTCTTATCACCCCCAAACTACTTTCTTTATACAAATCTTATACACAGTAGTATAACTTTATAAAGCGGACTCTGTTAAGGTATAACTTAAATTTTTAAAAATTCACTACTATTTGTACAATTTGAGTTTTGAAAAGTGGATATAGTTGTAGAGATGCCAGTATCAGGAAAATGTAAAAAGAAAACCAAAAAGGTTTCTTTCTACCCTTCTGCAGTTGCAAATCCTCTCTCCTATCTCTCTGGTTCCTGGAAAACTACCTATCTGCTTTCTATCACTATATTTGCTTTTCCTAGAATCTCATACATAGTTAGGGGTGTGTGTGTGTGTGTGTGTGTGTAATCACGTGTGTGTATTCTGCTTAGCATAGGTCTATGGAGATTCAGCCATGTGAACACATATATGAATAGTTACTCCATTTTACTGCTGAGTATTTCTCCATTATTTATACACCCCAGTGGGTGGATTGGATTATTCTGTTGCTGTGTACATTTTGCTTTCTGTTTTCAAATTATTTTGAATTTACAGAATATTTACAAGGAGCATAAGAATTCTCACAGAACCTTTCCCCAGCCTTCCCAACTGCTAAATCTCATATGGACATGGTATAGTTATCACTATTGAGTTAATGCTTATGCAGTGCTATTAACTAAATTGCAGACTTTATTTGGATTTAAATTTTTCCATTGCATTTAAAGGGCATATTTTGTTGTTATCTAATCCTAACAGTTTTTCAGGCTTCCCATATTTATAAAAGAGTACATGTTTAGGTATTTTATTGCCATATCCCTCAATTTGTCTGATGATTGAACTACAGTTAAAGATCCTTAGAAAGAATGTCACAGCGCTTGTGTGCCCTTTGCATCATAAGATGTCAGGAGCTACATGAAATCAGTATGTCTTATTACTGGTGAAGTAATTACCTCCATCACTTGGTTAAGGCAGTGTCTGCCAGGTTTCTCCACTATAAAAGTTACTTTTTCTTTCTTCTCAATAGCAGTTTGTTAAAAACAATGATTGCTTTTTAAATTTTTAAAATTTTGATATATGCAATGCACTCATGTGGGCACAGCTTAGCAACACTTTTAATTTAATTATTTTTGAAGATTTATTTATTTGTGTGTACAGAACTGGGGTGCAGGCCAGAGGTGCAGGGGCGGTGAGAGGACTCACCAGAGACAGGAACTCAGGAAGTCTGTTGTGCCTGTGGATCACGATCGAACTTGCACTGAAGTGGCCTCCGCTTGCTTATAGTGCTGGACTTTTTAGCCCGTTCCACCACAGAGAGGGTCCAACACTCTCAGTTCTTTTTAAAAGATTTATTTATTTATGCATACAGAACTGTGGTACAGGCCAGAGGTGCAGAGGTAGTGAGAGGATTCACCAGAGACAGAGTGGGAAGAACAGGCTGACTGATGAAGTACACTGCTGAGGGGAGCAGCGGGAGGGTCAGGAGAGGTCTGCTGCGCCATGTAGGTCACCTCCGGAGTGGGGATCAAACTCATGCTGAAGTGGCTTTAGCATCCTAGTGCTGTGCTTTAACCCGCTGCGCCACCAGGAAGGGCCTTAACACTTTCAATTTTAATTGTAACAGTTGCAACAACAGCTCCACTTTCTCCACCTGCATAATTATAAGCATATGTGGATTATCTCATTTAGTCCTTGTATGCCCCTGTGCAGTAGGCCTTTTACTCATGCTCACTTTAAAGAAAACTGAGGAATAGGGCCCTCTGTCGTGGTACAACGGGTAAGCACTGTGACTGTCTAGAGCTACTGCAGCATAGGTTCAATCCCTGGTCGGGAAGTGACTGACATGGTGTGGCAGACTTTTCCTGTCCTACCTACTGCTCCCCTCAACAGTGTTTTTCAGTCAATCTGCCTATTCTGCTCCCATTCTGTCTGTGGTGAGTTCTCTCACCCACTGTATTTCTGGCCTATACCCCAGTTCTTGTATGCATACATAAATACATCTTTAAAAAAAAATTGAGGCATAGAGTGTCTTGCCTCAGATCCAGCAGTTAATAAGTGATGGAATCAGATCCTAATTCAGCATAAGTAAAAGGACTTTTTTAAAAGAAGATTTATTTATGCATACAGAACGGGGGTACAAGCCAGAGGTGCAGGGGTGGTGAGAGGATTCACCAGAGACAGAGTGGGGATCAGAGTAGGCAGATAGATATAGTACACTGCTGAGGGGATCAGGGGATCAGCGGGTGAGACAGGAGAGGTCTGTTGCTTCTTGTGGGTCACTTCTTGTGGGTCACTCTCACTGAAGTGGCTGTGGCTAGCTTTGCAGTGCTGCATTCTAACCTGTTGTGACACTAGGGAGGACCCAAAGGACAACTCCCCCCCCACCCCAAAGGACAGCTTTTTTTTTTTTTTAAAGATTTATTTATTTGTGCATACAGAACTGGGGTATAGGCCAGAGGCTCAGGGGCGGTGAGAGGCTTCACCAGAGACAGAGTGGGGAGCAGAACAGGCAGATCGATGAAGTACACTGCTGAGGGGAGCAGCGGGCGGGTCAGGAGAGGTCTGCCACGCCATGTGGTCACCTCCGGGGCAGGCGGGGATCGAACTCATGCAGAAGTGGCTTTAGCTTCTCAGTGCTGTGCTTTAACCCGCTGCGCCACCAGGGAGGGCCCCAATGGACAGCTTTTAACACGTGCCACATAGTTGTTATCAGTGCTTAGAATGGGGCACACTCACTCCTTGCCAGAGAAAACAAATGCTTCCTACATTTGCCATTTCTCTCTTGTTCTTTCTTTATGAAATATTTTGTCTGTTTTTGCCTTCAGGAAGATGTCTTGCATGAATAAAGATTTTAGTAAGTAATACAAGGCAATAATATTACATTACAATTTGGGAGACATCCAAGATTCTTTAGGGAGCTTTTAGGATCTATCTTTAGACACCTTCTTTGAGACCCATTCTTTCAGGAACATGATTGCAGGCTAGCACAGTATTTATAATAGACAACTGATTTTGGAAGAGTATTTTCTTAAAAATGGCGCTGTGTCTTATCCCACATGCCCAGGTTTTCTTCAACCACTCCTAACAAGGGTTTTATGTTTATCTGTGTGTATCTAAACTCTATGTGTTCACTTTTGTTGATCACACTAGTGGCTTTTCTACTACATAGGCCAATTTGTCTCTGAATAGCCTGACTCAGAGCTTGATAACTGTGGTTAAGTGATGACTCAGTATCTGTGAGACCCTATTCTAGTAGCAGCAGAAGCACTGAAGGGCAGGCCGTGTGGGTGGACATTTGCACATCTTCCCCATGACTCAGTTGGCAGCCTGCCCTCCTGAGGGAAATAGCTGGGGGTGGCGAAGACTGTGTGCCTTTCCTGCCTCCCTGTCTCATCACACTATGGTGGTAGGTACCCCAGCCCCCTAAGTCACATAGTATCTTGAACATGTCTAGTCTGCCAAATGCTCCAGATATCAGTGTAATTTTTAAAAAAGAAACTTTTTTTTTGATTTCTAAGTGTCTCTTATTTGTATGCCTAGCCAGAGTCTACAAGTTAAACAAGATACTGCTCACCACCCAAAGCTTTCCTAGACGGGCCTTACATAGAAACCATACAACTTCTTTCCTTGGGAGGGAGAGAAAGGAAACTGTTTAAGTCTGATGGTGCTTGTATACAATAACTGGAAAATATTGTAAGAGTAGAAAAGTAATTATGGATAACTGACGTCAAGTTCATGGGCATCTAGATCTGGACTCAGAAGTGAGAGGACTGTAAGGATTGGTCTTTATTCTCAGATATGGTTTTCTGCACACCCATTATAGAGAATGATAAATCAAAGGAAATGAAAGGAGAGAAGTGAAAGTGGCCATTTATACCACTTGAAATAGCCATGCTTGTTTTAGTAGGTTTTTACTCTTTTCCTCTCTTGTGCTGGAAATATATTTATAATCCTACATTCTTAAATGCAATACTGTGTCATAAAGATTTTTATTTTATCGTTTAAAGAAAAAGACTTAATTTGATGGGAGGAAAATAGCTAGTCTTATGTTTGTGTTTCCTTAATACTTTCATTAGGATTAACAATTTTATGCTCACTATCAATTGCATTTACCCATATAAGTTGTTAGTTTTCCTATTTGATCTTTGTGTAAAATTGGAAATGTCACTGAAGCAAATCTGTGTTTTCAGATGTCCTAAATGATGCTATATTTGATGAAGACCATGATGAGATGGTGATTGTGAAGGACATAGATATGTTTTCCATGTGTGAGCATCATCTAGTTCCATTTACTGGAAAGGTAAGGCTAATATTTCCTAATACCTTTAAAAAGCATAATGAAAACTTTTAAACTGGGATAATTATATTTAAAGTAGTCACCTGTTAAATCCTAATGTCTCAGGCATTTAGAATTATATATTAAATACTTACTCTTTATCAATCTGACTAATCTAAATGCTTAAAGCTAACAGACAGAAAGTGGCAGAAGCCCTGAGAGCAAGAGCCTCATAAATGCCATGTTACAGGGTTAAAGTGATGGGGGTACAGTGGCATCTTTTTGTCTAAGTAGCAGCTGCAGGCACTGAAAACCTTTGTCCTTTATTTTAACTGAGTAATGTTTGGCCCAACATATATTTATGTGTAATATGACTTGAGCAGTAGTGACTGCAGAATTTCTTGTGGCAGAGGTTAGTAGTGTCGTAGATTTAATTTTTCCCTCCAGCCCTTTCTAATCCCTTCTGTTGTTAACAAAATGGCACTGTATTTTCACATAACTCATGATTTTTGAGTTATGTACAATTAATTTCTTTTGCTACTTCTCTTCTGAAGGTCCATATTGGTTATCTTCCTAACAAGCAAGTCCTTGGCCTCAGCAAACTTGCAAGGTAAGTATGACACCATGGCAACTAGGAAAATAGTTTATGGGGACCTTCCCTTCCACAGTGACAATCTCTGTGACTTGTAAGTCACATTGCAACTTAAAATTTATAGTCACAGAGACAAACAGATTTAATGGGCCTGTAACACAAATGCCTTTTCCTCTGGCTTCTCTGCTGCCTGCTTCCTTCCCCACTTCCACCCCTCTCCCACTGGCTCCTCTGGAAGTCCAAGCTCACACCTCTCAGTAGAGCCTTCCCCAGCTGGAGATGACCTGAGGGTACTTTCAGACCCATCTTTTGAGGATGACTTAGCTAGCAGTGAGGGGTGGGGAGGAAACCTGGGCAGGGTTCCAACTGTACTGCACTGTTTTCAGACTTCTGGCCAAGTAGGGCTTGGTGCCCTCCGTCTGTCTCCATCCTACTTTCCTCCATGCTTGGCTTCCTCTGGGCATCTCTGGGACCCAGTCAGCTCACTCTTGGTTTCTGCAGCTTGAAGACACAAGACTGCCTTCCTTGGGTTTCTTACCTTCATTCTAAGATAGTGCTTACTCTAATTCTCCTTTCTGCTAGTTTTCCGGTTTTTATCCTGTGCTTCAGGTTTATTTGTTTGGTTTAAGATTTATTTTACTTATTTATGCATACCAGAACCTGGGTACAGGTCAGAGGTGGGAGGGGGGTGAGAGATTCACCAGAGACAAGTGGGCAGCAGAAGAGGTGGACTGACTGAAATACACTGCTGAGGGGAGCAGCTGGTGGGTCAGGGGAGGTCTGCCATGCCATGTGGGTCACCTCCAGGACCGGAGATTGAACTCGGACTGAAGTGGCTGCTGGTACCTTGCAGTGCTGTGTCCTAAACCACTTCACCACCAGGGAGGGCCCTATTCCTCATATTTCTATTCTTATCACCTTTCTAGTAATCTCCTCCCAAATAGTAATGATGAAGTCATGAAAACTGACTAAAATGGCCTTAATACTTTGTAATCTATGGTCTAACTAAAATTAGTATATTTGCTATATGAATGTAGCTGTAGGCCCAGTCCCAGGGTACCCTCCTTCTGACAAGATTGCCAACCCTGTGCCTTTTCTATGTAGATATTCTAGTACTGTTAATGCCTGCAACATGCTGTTCGCAAGTGAAAGGTGTGTAGTGGGTAGCTTTTGTGTTATGTTAGCCATGTTAGACCTTGGCCTCAATGTAAGCAGACTTCTCTAGAATAGTACATTGTGTATTCTACAATAGGTAACACTTTATGGGCATGGATTCTAGAGTGATCCAATGAGATCTTGAATACATAATAGCTTGGGGGTAGAAGCTAATAATCTTTGGTTATTTTCTTTTCCTAGTGAAAAGAAAGTAGTTCCAGTAATTAAGTTCTTATGAAATAATACAGAGAAGTTGATTACTAGAATGGGGATTTCATCTTAATGAGATTAAAACTTAAGAAATTCAAAAAAAGGATCTGTTACACAGAAAAGAAAACTAAGATTTGATCTGACTGCTTTCTTTCTTATAAGAAGTTGGAATGTTACAGAGAATGAAGAGTAATAAGGAAAGCTGAATGTCTTAGCAAAACTTCACTATTCATTTTCAGCTTGTATGTGAAGTTTGTTATATGCTTGACTTTAAACGAATGACCTTTCAATGCCAGGGAAGTCAAATATCAAACAATAAAGCTTTAAGTAACAAGAAAATGCCAAGGGTAACTTGATCTGGTTTAACTCTAGTAGAAATCTAGAGTAAACTTAGTTTGAATAGAAATTCATTTTGTTGGTGAAAATCCATTGAACACGCATTGATTTTCTTGTCTTAGAATAATTGAATGAACATAATTAAATCTTGAATTTAGAATTGTAATGCCTGGGGGCAGCCATGGTTAATCTATTTATTGAGTACCTATTGTGAAAGGGCACTGCGCCAGCTACCGTCCATGCTAGGGAGAAGTAGGACACAGCCGCTGGCCTCAAGGAGGGTAGACCACATGGGGAAGCAGGAGCCTCAGAAGTGCTTGGTTTGGAGCTCTGCATTCAGAAAAGCTAGCTATCTGTGGTTCCTCAGGCTTAAGAGACTTGAAGTGCAGGGCTCAGCAGAATTCTAAATGAAGAAATTCCTTTAAGAATTTCAAACGCAAATAATGGGGTTTGAACAAAGTATATCCCACTGCGTAAGGAGTAGACTAATGAAAGTAAGAGACTTAGGCAGGAGTGATAGGAGATAATTTAAAAGGGAAAGTGGACATTGGATTACAGAGAGAAGATTCTGTTTTTCTTCTTTCTATTATAAAAGTGAAATACCTACCTGTTAAGCTTAAATACAAATGAGTAGATAAAGGGGAAGTTTTTCTTTCCTATTTCCATGCCCCAGATTTAAAACTGAGATTTCCTTCACTCTTTTTGGAAAATTTTCTATGCTATTTCTGTGCTAAAATTAGCAGAACTTAATAAAATTTAAAAAAGGGAGAGAATATCCTACATCTTTATTGCAACTTGCTCTTTTAAAAACTTAAACAAAAAATTCAAACTTCCTGAAATTCTGTGAACATCATTTAGTCCCAAAAGCCCACGTTCTTTTTTTTTTTTTAAGATTTATTTATTTGTGCATACAGAACTGGGGTATAAGCCAGAGGTGCAGGGGCGGTGAGAGGCTTCACCAGAGACAGAGTGGGGTGTAGAACAGGCAGAGCTTCAAAGTACAGTGCTGAGGGGAGCAGCGGGCAGGCCAGGAGAGGTCTGCCACGCCATGTGGTCACCTCCGGGGCAGGAAGGAATCGAACTCATGTGGAAGTGGCTTTAAATTCTTAGTGCTAAATACCTAAATGGTATTTTTGATTAACATCCATTGAACCAGCCTTTGCTATAGATAAGTGTAGCCTACAGTTTGCAGCTACTATCAAAAAGGAAGCAGTATGATTTGATGAACATAATGCTGTGCATTTGCTTTCTTTGTGTCTGCCTGTGATAAATCACTAAAGTTTACTGGGCAAGGATAGCTGGATTTTGGCATTACCAAATTGCTCTCCAAGAATGGTAATGCCAATTTATACTCTGGTAATAGATAAAGGGTGTGTGTTTCTCCATACTTGCAGTGCTTGCTTTCATTGCACTTTCATTATTTTGGTCAAACCCATAAATGAAAAATGGTATCTGTTATGTTATTTTGCACTTTTTTCATAGAATGATATTGGATCTCTTCAGAAACTTTCTGCTTTTAGTCTTTGCTAATTTTTCCATTGTGTTTTAATCCCTGTTTTGCATGTGCTCATTAATTAAAGCAGTTAGGCCAGGTGCTACAAATATATATTTTTCCCATTTGTCATTTGTATTTTGACTTTTATTGTTTTCCCTAAGGAAATTTTAAAACCTTTATGTCGTTAATCCATGTTTTAGGGGACGTGCTTTATTTTTATATTTAAATCTTTGCTTTATCTAGAATGTATTTTGGGACAAGAGTGAGGAAGTATATATGTCTGTTGCTATTGTATGATCACTGACCTGAGCAGTCCCAGCCCCTTGCGTTACCATCTTGAAGACACTCTGCTGAGCCTTTCTTATATTCTTTCTGGGTTATAGGCGACAATCTTAACTCCTCCTTGGCCTCTAGTCTCTACAGGCTCTTAATCTTTCTCTCCTTTGCCAATGCTTGTCTTTGTAGCCCCATAGCTTTTTTTTTTTTTTTTTTAAGATTTATTTATTTATTCGCACAGAACTAGGGTACAGGCCAGAAATGCGGAGGGTGAGAGGAGTCACCAGAGACAGAGCGGGGAGCAGAACAGGCAGATCGACGGAGCACACTGCTGAGGGGAGCAGCTGGCGGGTCAGGAGAGGTCTGCCCCACCATGTGGTCACCTCCGGGGCAGACGGGAATCGAACTCATGCGGAAGTGGCCCCAGTTTCTTAGTGCTGTGCTTTAACCCGCTGCGCCACCAGGGAGGGCCCCTAGCCCCATAGCTTTTTAAAAAAGATTTATTCATTTATGCATACAGAACTGCAGTACAGGCCAGAGGTGTAGGAATGGTGAGAGGACTCACCAGAGACAGAGTGGGGAGCAGAACAGGCTGACTGATGAAGTACACTGCTGAGGGGAGCAGCGGGCGGGTCAGGAGAGGTCTGCCACACCATGTGGGTCACCTCTGGGGCAGGGATCAAACTCATGCGGAAGTGGCTTTAGCTTCTTAGTGCAGTGCTTTAACCCACTTCACCACAAGGGAGGCCCCTGTAGCCCCATAGCTTTTAAGATAAAGTTCAGTATCCTTTCTTCAGCTGACAAGCTTCATTTACTGTGTGTGATCCTGCAGCTTTTGTCAGGTGCTGTGCCACACTTGAAAATCTGCAGTTTGGGGCTAAGTCAAGCTTGCCAAACCAAATTTGTGACGGTATCAGAAGGTACTCTTAAGATTTACAAGGATTAAATTATAAAATCCATGGGTTTATCCTGCACAAGTGTCACCAGATTACTTTCTCAGTCCCAAATGGAACAGAAGAGAAAAGGAAGCACAAGGCAAGAGAGAGCCATGTGGTAGCTTCACAAACAGGCGGTGACAGTAATAATGTATTAGGGGAATTATGAGTGCAGTGTGGGGCAAAGCACAGATGCCCAGGATCACCGCTGTTGCCTGCTGAACCTGAAATTCTGCTCGAGAAAGACAATTGATGATGACAAAGAAGACAATGCTAATTGTCAAATGGACAGCATCTCCTATGTATGTAATGGTAATTCACCTCCTGGGAAGCTGTCAGAAGTAATATGTACAGAAATTTAACCCAGTAAGCAACAAGATATATTTTGTCTCTAGAAGCTTAAAAAAACACCCTTTCTTGAGTTTTTGTTAGAAATACAAAGTGTAATATTGTATTCTTTCAGTGTTGTGGGTCTACTGGGAACTCAGAGAAGAATCTTGGCAGCTCTTGCCTTCAGACTGAGTGGTAAATGAGCTGGTGCTCCTGTTACTAACTTTGTTGGGTACAACTAAAATAAGGTGCAAGCTGTCATTTCTGTTTGAGCAGCCAGGTGTGGGGGAAGAGCCATGAAATGGCTCATACGGAAGGTGATCCTTAAATTGTGTCCAAATTCATGACTCAAGGCCATTTTGTTTTTAAAGGTCTTTAATGGGAATTATCCTCAGATGGTCACCTTCACATTTTACAACTCAAGTGAAAGATGTTGAAAGGGGAAAGGGCAGCACTTGACAGAATGGTACAGTAGTTGACCATAGTCTGCTATTAACAAATAGCTCTTTTATTTTGAACTTGAAATTTAAGTTCTGATTAAACAATATGATTAATGAGAAGACGTGAGACTTGCCTAAAATTGACAACTGACTCACCTTTAATTGAGTTTTTCCTAAGTGAACTTTCCACTTGATTCTCTCTTTGGGAACATGAGGAAGTACACTATGTGCTGTGGCTGGTCTGAGGAGACCCCCTCCTCTCTCATTTACCTGTAATTCTTGTATCTTTCTAATCTAGAAACATGAATGCTTTGCCGATAACCTGTAATGGCTTCATTACTCTTTTGGTTTTATGGGGAATATACACCAATTTCATGCCAGACAACTTGTGATTAAAACAACTCTTTTCTCCCCCCAGGATTGTAGAAATCTATAGTAGAAGATTACAAGGTAAATTTTTAAACTTGTTATTTACAGAAAACATTTTTTTCTTAAGGAAAGTGTTTTTTACAGGGTAATACATAGGATTTACGGAAATTAAAACTTCTTGGAGTGTCAAATAGAAAGTCTGCTACATTTTCAGCTTTCAGGAAAATCATTGTTGTACTTACACATTCCTTCACTTTACATTTGTAAGCATATACCAACAATTTATAATCAATTTATTTTTATTATATTTAAACCGATTATATTAAAGCATGCATGCTGCCTGTGAGGGGCTTTGCTTTTGTTTTTTCTTTCCTTTCCCCCCACCTTTTTGCAATATGCAGCCTCATTTCCTCTGTTTGGCATTCTGTTGCACGACTGTGCTGTGACTTGATTTAATCAACTCTGTCTCTCCCCGACAGACATTTGGGGAATTTGTCAGTTTTCAAATAGATGCAATTCTGCAGTGAACAGTCATGTATATATTCAAAGTTGAGTTGTTTATTCATCACAGGACCTGCCTTATTTAGCTTAAATCTTTGGTTTTCAATATTGTTCTAAATACTATTCAATAATGTGACAGTAGTCCCATTTTAAACTTATGTGAGCTTTTATTTGTTCTTCTCTGCCTCCTACCTCCATGGATGTGCTTATTATCAATATTCTGTTGATCTCACTTGCACACCTAAGCAGCAGTTGCCAGGCTAATCTCTTGCCCACTGGTGCTGGAGGTCATGGCGGTTCCTGTGTTTTCTTTGTTACCAGTATTATAGGTGAGAGAACTAAATCAGCCTCCTGTGGTCCAGTCTGCAGACAGCAACTTGCTAAAAAGATGTTGTGTTGATGCTTAAACATTAGAAAAGCCTGCTTTTTAAGATTTCAGATATTTCAAGAAACTTCCAGTTACCTATTTATGTCAGACTCTTAATCTGAGCTTCTTATCACATTCACAGTCCAAGAGCGCCTTACAAAACAAATTGCCGTAGCAATCACAGAAGCCTTGCGACCTGCTGGCGTCGGAGTAGTGATTGAAGCAACGTAAGTCTTTACTTGTCTTTAATCATATCACAGTGGTGCATGAAAATGGTATTTAGTGCAATTTGGTTTTTCTAGCACCCGGTGAGGCCACACAAGTGACAGTGTGTCACCATCATGTTTTCCTTCTCTGAGTCTGAATCTCTTTTACCTTTTCATTGATTGTGTGGTCAATAAAGAGCCCAGGGTAGGGGATACTGGCTTTGGTTTGGGTATTGTTTGTTGGTGGTGAAGGGATAGGGAGGCATAAGTTTAGGTGTAGCAATTTGTACAACTAGTGGTGTTTTGCATCTCCTCTTGATTTTTTTTTTTTTTTAAGATTTATTTATTTGTGCATACAGAGCTGGGGTAAAGGCCAGTGGTATGGGGGCAGTGAGAGAATTCACCAGAGACAGAGTGGGGAGCAGAACAGGCAGATCGACGAAGTACACTGCTGAGGGGAGCAGTGGGCACGTCAGGAGAGGTCTGATACGCCATGTGGTCACCTCCAGGGCAGGGGATCAAACCAGCACTGAAGCAATAGTGGCCAGCTTACAGTGCTGCATTCTAACCTGTTGAGCCATCAGGGAAGGACTTCTCTTGATTTTAATTCAGCTCTTTGATGTTCAAACCAGAGTTTTTCTTTTTATTTATTTTAAATTTTATTGAACTACCACTGGCTTACATAGTTGATAATAATTTTTTTTAAAAAGATTTATTTACTTATGCATACAGAACTGGGGTACAGGCCAAAGGTGCAGGGGTGATGAGAGGATTCACCAGAGACAGAGTGGGGAGCAGAATAGGCCGATAGACGAATGCACTGCTGAGGGGAGCAGCGGGCGGGTCAGGAGAGGTCAGCTGAGTCATGTGGGTCACCTCCGGGGCAGGCAGGGATGGAACTCATGCTGAAGTGGCTTTAGCTTCTCAGTGCTGTGCCTCAGCCTGCTGCTCCAGGTAATAATTTTTAAGCATAGGATGTCCCCTGCCTCCAGGTGCAGTCACCATGGTGCACCTATCGCCAAGCACCCTCAGTCCACCACCCTAGTTGACTGTGCTCTCTCTCTACTTTGTTCTCACTCCTTCCCCTTCCCACCCACCTCCAGATTCCTCAGTTCTGTTCTCAGCTTTCAAGGCTTTCAAGTTTGATTTTGGTTTTTCTTTATTCCACTCATAAAAGACACCATCAAGCTTTTGTCTTTCTCCTTGGACTTGCTTGGCTTATCATAACCCCTTCCAGCTCCATCCATGTTGCTGTACATGGCATGAGTTTACCTTTATTGAGCATTGGGTAGTATTCCACTGTGCATGTATACTGCATATTCTTGATCTGCGCTTCTGTTTTGGTGACTTAGGTTTTTCCCCTATCTTGACTATTGGAAATAGTGCTGCAACCTGCAAGTTCCAAGTTGTTTTTGTTTGTTTGTTTGTTTGTTTAGTGGAAAGTGGAACTACTGGATCAGATGGCAGATGCATTTTTAGTCTTTTCAGAAAGCTGCATACTCTTTTTTTTTTTTTAAAAGATTTATTTATTTGTGCGTACAGAACTGGGGTACAGGCCAGAGGCTCAGGGGCAGCGAGAGGCTTCACCAGAGACAGAGTGGGGAGCAGAACAGGCAGATCGACGAAGTACACTGCTGAGGGGAGCAGCGGGCGGGTCAGGAGAGGTCTGCCACACCATGTGGTCACCTCCAGGGCAGGTGGGAATCGAACTCATGCGGAAGCAGCTTTAGATTCTCAGTGCTGTGCTTTAACCCGCTGTGCCACCAGGGAGGGCCTGCATACTCTTTTTCAGAGGGGCTGGACTAGTCTACATTCCCACCAACAGAGGAAGAGGATTACACTATTGTATACCCAGCACTTGTTCCTGGTCTTTTTATGTGGGTCATCTCACAGGTGTGAGGTGGTATCTCATTGTAGTTTGGATTTGCACTTCCGTGACAAGTGATGATGAAAATTTTTTCATGTGTCTGTTCACCATCTGTTTGTCTTTTTTTGAGAATTGTCTAGTTAGCTCTTCTGCCCATTTTTGATTAGATTATTTGTTTTCATTTTGTTGAGTTGTATGAGTTTTTTGTGGATCTTCGATATCAGTCCTGTGTCAGATGTATGGGGCACGAATATTTTTCTCCTATTCAGGGGGATGTCTTCGACTGTACAGAAGCTTTTTAGTTTGATGTAGTCCTAATTGTTTATATTCGTTTGTTTCCCTGGCTGCTGGAGATGCATCCACAGAGATACTACTGAAGCCTGTGTTATGGAGTGTTTTGCCCATATTGTCTTCTAGATTATTGTGGTATGGGATCTTACATCCAAGTCTTTTATCAAATTTGAGTTGATTTTTGGATATACTGTGGGGTTGTGGCTAGTTTCATTTTTTGCATGTAGCTGCCCAGTTTTCCTAACACTATCCCCTTGAAGAGGCTTTTCTTGTTCCCTGTGTATGTTCTTTACTTTTTTGTCTTATATTAACTGACCATACAGGTGTGGGTTTATTTCTGAATTCCCAATTGTATTCCAGTGGTATGTGTGCAATTATTATATAATTTGAAGTCTTTGTTCCAGTGCCATATTGCTGTAATTATTATATAATTTGAAGCCTAAAAGCGTGATACAGTCATTTCTCTCTTTTGTCAGCATTGCTTGGGATACTTGGGGTCTTTTGTGGTTCCATAAAATTTTCAGTAATGTTTATTCCATTTCTTTGAAGGATGTCATTCGCATTTTTATTGGGATTGCATTGAATCTATGTATTGCTTTGGTCAAGAATGCTGATTCATCCAATCTATGAGCAAGGATATTTTTCCATATCTTTGTGTCTTGTTTCTTTTAACAGTGTCTTATAGTTTTCATTGTGTAGGTCCTTTGCAGCCTTTGTAAGTTTTACTCCTAGATATTTAATATTTTTTAATATGATTATTAATGGAGTTATTTTCTTAATTTCTTATTCTAGCTCAGTATTTGCATATAAGAAGGCAGCTGATTTTTGTGTTTTGATTTTATAATCTTCCACTTTTGCTGACTGGTTTGTCATCTTAATTAATTTTTTAGGGTCCTCTGTGTACATTTTCATGTCATATTTCCAAACACTTTTCTAATAATTTGTGCACATTTAGTATAAACAGAGAGAACTAGGAATGGGCACAAAAATGCTTCTTCACGTTAGAATGAGTGGTAAGAATCGCACACTTCTGGTGGGTAGCATCGTCATTCATTCTGCTGGCCTGGCATGACCTCTGTGCTGTGTGCCCTGTCCAGCACACAGGAGACACTCTCATCTCCGTACTCTGGGTTTTAGCTGATGAGGCCAGCTTGCTTCAGTATATCTCTGAACACCTAAGTGTTCTTAGTGCCGTCTTGATCCTGAACATCTATGAAGCAAGAATTCTGAACTCCTTTTTATCTAATAATTGTTATTTCTGGAGATGCTTTGTATGATTTTCACCCAGGGAGAAAATTTCATCTTTTCTCCTCTTATTGGATTTATGAGGAACTTGACCGTGATAAGAATAAACAGTATACAACTAGGACATTTACCAAAAAAAATCTTTTTTTAGATCAAATTTGCCTAAGAAGTAAGATTTGGGCACATTTGCGAACTGTAAATTCAGTTTAATCAGAATTAATCTTCTAGTTTGCTTTAAAAAAAAAAAAGCCAACAACTGCTTACTCCACTAACTCACCTATCACCTTGTTTTGTAGACACATGTGTATGGTCATGAGAGGGGTACAGAAAATGAACAGCAAGACTGTGACCAGCACAATGCTGGGAGTATTCCGGGAAGATCCAAAGACTCGGGAGGAGTTTCTAACTCTCATTAGGAGCTGAGGTTCCGTGGCCACATGATTTGCTGCAGCTCTTGCCACAAGTAGCACTGTATGTCTGGTCTTAGTTGTTTGTCCATTCTCTTTTCAGTTGTTACAGATGTGAACTTTATTCCTTGTCATTAAGTGTGTTTCATAATATTTATAGCAAGTCAAATAAAAATAATTAAAAAGGGGTGAGCCCTCTACTTTCTTCTTGCCACCTTTTTGTGGCATCATTTAAACAAACTGCCGAGAGTGTAAGTTATATGCACAAAACCACTGCCATCAGATTCCCCAAGGGGGCTGGAAAGGGAGAATTCATTATTTTCTTCAATAATGTGTTCAGTTGACCCAAAAGTATAGGTGTATTGGAAATGGGAGAAAACTATGACCATACACTTATTTTTTTCTTCTCCAAAATGATGTAGTGCTTAAAATAATTTACATACAGTGTGCAGCATTGTTCTGCAAACTCAAAGTCCAGCTGGTTCTACTTTAATCATGTTTATTAAACCACCAGTAACACTTTATTTTTTATATATTTATATTTTAACTAACCAATTGTGATGTTAGTCAACAAGGGAAGGTGGTAAAATATCTATGCTTTGGATTTTACTGTGAGTTAAAAAGGCACATTTCTACCTTCTATTCTTTTTTTAAAATCCAAGTACAGGAAAGTAGTTCCTGGAGTTGTTTACGAGTGTATTCTCATGTCATCATACAGGGATTTAGACATTTAACTCTCTGTGCCTTGATGAGAATATCACACCATTTAGAGTGTAGCTAGCTTTGCCTTTTTAAAAAAGCCATTATTTTATGAGATTTAGTGCTGACACTGCAAATGATAAGTCCTCACTGTTCTACCTTTAGAAATTTCTTGGGAGCTTCCTTTGTGTATTCACCATAGATGTCTCAAAATATAAAAAACAAAAAACCCCAACTTATTATTTAGAGAGAGTCCATCATTTTTAGGTCTGCAGAACCTTAGCTTCTGCGCACATGAAAGAACACAGAATGAACTAATTGTGGCTGCATTATGGACTACAACCAATTTCTAGTGAAAGCTATCTTGGCGGTGTTTAGGAAAATGCATCATGATTTTCTAGATTCACTGGAGAAATACGCAAGTCCCCATCCTCCTTTCTTTTATGGTTAGCATGTGTCTTGTCTTTAGTGTAACTGTTGAATTGGTATAGGTTTTAGTGCAGGAAGTTGTTGTCTTCTTAATGATTACCTTGAAGCTTCTTCTACCAGGGCAGTGTGAGCCAAATTTAAAAAAATGAAAAATCTCAACACCCCCACAAAAACACAAACACAGAAATTCCACGGGAGGCCTCTTCCTTGTTTGATGTAGTGCTCTTTGCATCATCGCATTATCTTCAGCAGAATTAGCTACAACCTTGGTAGCTCGGGTCCGCTGTTTGGTTCACCATGGGGCCAAATGCAGGAAGTGTTTGGTTTTTTTTAAAATACTTCCCTACTTTTGTTTTTATATTTGGAGATCCTAAGCACAGTGATGGTTGATTTGAGGTCCCTTTTTCAAATCCAACCTGACATAAATGTTATCCTGTATAATACGTAGACATTTAGAGGTAGAGTTAGCCATTCAACTCATATATTTAAAGTAATCCAGGTGTGTGACCTGAAGGACCAAAGAAATTGTTAGCTATAAATTAATCTTTCTGAGATCAATTGTGTTCTTTTTCATGACTTTTGCTCTAACATTCCCTAGAAATAGTCTCATAAAGGTCTAATATAGCCACAGGCTGTTGTCTTAAATGCAAAGTAATGATCTTGTCTGTTTTACTCTAATCAGTAGTACTTCAAAATTACTTTTTCACATTCATGGCCTTGAGTCCATTTGGGGGATTTTTAAGAATTTGATGCACTTAAATACAATGTTAAATTGTATTAAATTGTTCCTTTGAATTTTATGTATGTATGTATGTATGTGTATGTATAAGGTTCTATTTAAATTATTAAAGTATTATAACTCTGTTCTTGTGCAATTTCTTTTGAACCACTTGTATAGCTATATTGACACATTGGATTTCATTGAATTGTGTTTTATCACAGATACCCTACCCCCCCCGCCATCCCATGAGGGCTTCTCTCAACGATCAAGCTATTAGAGTAAACTGCAGAGACTAGGGTCTCTGTTGCTCCTCAGTATTTGGTTTGGGTTTGATTGTCCTCAACCTCCTGCTGGGGAAGGGAAGGTCTGGGGTTAGAGTAAGGAACAAACACTCACATCCCTGTTGTAGAAGCTTATATTTAGACAATTGCAGCTTCCTGAGAGTTGGCACTGCTTTCTGTGTGGGAGCTGTTGAAGCAAAAGCAGACAGGCGGGGGTCAGGATGGCATAGGAAGTGGGAGACGATGGGAGAACCCACCTGGGGCAGTACTTCAAGTATGTGCAAAGATTTTGCCTCCTCTTTTCTGTCTCATGTGGCACGAGGCCCTGTGACAGGGGTGCCTGCCTCTGGTTGTCAGTATGGGGCGCTGGAGTGGTCTGCTTCTCCTCAGGGCCCCATAGTATAAGTATTAAATATAAACATGCAGATTAGGGATGCTTATTGAGCTAAGTCTTCTTAAAACAGAACTCACATGTGCCAGTTCACAACTCAGTTGTGAGTGGCTCAACTGAGCCTAAGTTGCTACTCCTGAGTTTTTTGGCTGAAGATTGATTGCTGAGTGCCTTGTTTTGACACTTAGTGAAGAGCAGATGCAGATGCCAAAGGTTTTAGGAAGGTGTCCAGCAAAACAGCACACCTCAGTTCACCATGAAGGACCTGGCTCTTGCTGTGGATGGGGAGGAGGCAAGGGACTCTCCATAGAAGAGCTCAAGGTGAAGTGTAAATACCTGATAGCCCCAATCCTCCCAGAGGCATCTGCTTTATGTTTGTTTTAGTTTTTATTATCTAAAAAATAACATGTAGGCCCTCCCTGGTGGCTGCAGTACAGCACTAAGAATCTAAAGCCCCTGCAGCATCCCGCCTGCCGCGGAGGTGACCACATGGCGTGGCAGACCTCTCCTGACCCACCCGCTGCTCCCCTCAGCAGTGTACTTCGTCAGTCGGCCTGTTCTTCCCGCTCTGTCTCTGGTGAAGCCTCTCACCACCCCTGCACCTCTGGCCTATAACCCAGTTCTGTGTGCATAAATAAATAAATCTTTAAAAAAAAATAACATGTAAAGGAGCAGACAGAGCACGAGTAGCCGAATCCCCATATATCCTGCACCCCTTTCACCCAGCTTCCATATGCCTCAACTCACAGCCATCTTAATTCCTCCAAACTCCCACCCCCACTCTTATCTCAAAGCAAATCCCAGACATCAGTTCATCCATGAGTATGTCAGCTTATCTAAAATAAGAGAAATGACCTTTAAAAGAAAAAAAAAGCACAAAAATTAGTGCTTTAATAGAATCTATCAGTCAACATTCAGTTTTCCCTTCCTGTCTCATAATTATTTTATTTAGATGAAGATATAAGTGATGTCCATATATTATGTTAGTTGATCTTAACTTACAATCTTAATCACTTTAAGTGTACAGCACAATAGTAACTACACACACATTGTTGTGCAGTGTTTATTTAAAGCTACAGATTCATCTTCCCCCTGCGATTTAGTGGGATTATTTGGAAAGCCCTATGTCACACCTAGCAGGCTCAACTGCTGGCATGTCTGTAGCTTCTTTAGTTTCATTTCAGCTAAACAGAGCAAAACAGGTTGTCTTCTATTCCAGAGCTTCTCCATGTCCTTAAACTGAGGCTGTTTAAGGTCATCCTGCTACTGCTCAGACTTTACGTTGGACGTCACCTGCTTGCTTCTGTGAACTCACAGTTACCCTCCCAGGTATGGAACTGAGGAGTTCATTCCCTATGCTGGGTGGGTGGGGGAATGGGGTGGGGGTGGCAGGAAATCTGTCCTTTGTGGACATATTTCCATTTTAAAACATCTGCCACATGGCCTGATTCATGTTTGGTGGGTTCCTTGTCTGCATGATTTTGGAAGGGTTATAGGACTGGAAATAGTGAATCCCACAAAATGTGGCTTTCCCTTGAGGAGCTCTGCCTGAGGAATTCCAAGGTTGGTTTGGATGGAAGGGGTGCCTGGGGGTCTGCCTGCACATTTACACTGCCCTCTGAGCACGAATACCTGGCTCTGGGAAGTGGCACCTGGCCTGGTACTTGAGCAGCTTCTTTTAGCCTCACCCTGAGGTGTAGTGATGACTTGCTGACATGCCCTGTTGGGATGACTTTGCACGGGCATTGCATAACCCTGGTACGTCTATCCCGTTTTTCTCTTATTTCTGTATTTTCCTGTTTGGTTTGAGCAATGTGTCCACAACTGTGACCTTTTGAAAAATACTTTAACTTCTGAAACTGACTGTGCTGCCCAAAGAGACATGGTTTGACTATTGGTAAGTGCCGAGAGGCTGTAATGAGGGAGTCCTGGGAGGAAACACTGGGCGTGTGATGCTTCCTGAATGAAAATTGTCTCTGAAGCTGTGGCCTGTATTCCCAGTGGATTTCCTCTTGATTTTAGGATGAGTTCCTTTCCCCTCCTTTTGTATCTTTTCTTGTTTGAAAATGTGCTGAATGAATAGAAAACATGAAGCATTCTCTTTCTGTGAGAATTCCCATTATATGTACAACACTCTAACAGTCATTTAAAAAAAATATTTAAGCATACAGAACTGGGGTACAGGCCAGAGGTACAGGGGCAGTGAGAGGATTTGTGAGACAGCATGGGGAGCAGAACAGGCAGACTGATGAAATATACTGCTGAGGGCAGCAGCGGGCGGGTCAGGAGAAGTCTGCCGCGCCATGTGGGTCACCTCTGGGGCTGGGGATGACATGTGCTGAAGTGGCCGCTGTTAACTTCGTAGTGCTGTGCTTTAACCTGCTGTGCCACCAGGGAGGGCCCTACAACAATCATTTCTATCTTGACTAGTCAAAACTTTTATAGTAATTTTTCTCTCTTCAGGGCTATTTCACATCTAAAATTGAGGGATAAGCTAAGAAACACAAAGCTGGCAAATAAAAAATCAGTTTAAAATGAGTGACAAGGATCACAGTGTTATTTCTTATTGTCATTTGGAAAGTAGCATATACAAAGGTCAGCTGATGTCAGAGCAAAGCTTCTCCCTTGTCAGCTCCAGGTATGCTGAATGCCAACTTGCCCATGAGCCAGGGGTGCGTGAACTTCAAGTCCTTCTCCAACTCTACTCTGATTCCTCTAGCTTAGCAATTGTCAAAATTACCTCAGCATGAAGAGGTGGGAGATGAGTGACTGTTTATATCAAAACTTGAATAGTTTGTTAACAGAATATCAATTGTAAATTTAATACTAAAAAGAATTATAAATAAGATAAAAAATGTTGTGTGCACTTAAGTTTAGATAGGTCAGCTAGACCACTATGTAAAAGAAAATTTAGGGCCCTCCCTGGTGGCACAGTGGGTTAAAGCACAGCACAAAGAAGCTAAAGCCACTTCAGCATGAGTTCGAGCCTCATCTGCCCTGGAGGTGATCCACGTGGTGCGGGAGACCGCTCCTGACCTGTCCGCGGCTCCCCTCAGCAGTGTACTTCATCAATCTGCCTGTTCTGTTGCCCACTCTGTCTCTGGGGAATCTTCTCACTGCCCCTGCACCTCTGGCCTATACCCCAGTTCTGTATGCATAAATAAATAAAAAAAGAACATTTAGATAAAAGTGAAACCTCTGAGTCCTGAGAACTAATAATGTATGATTCCTATCTTTCAGTTTTGGGAGTCTGGAAAAGAAATCTTCCAGATTTATGTTCTGTGAGTAAATGTGTGTGTACCCAGAATTAAATGTTGGGAATAAGGTGCTACTGGAAATGTTACTATAAGGTGCTAATTTTTTAAAAATATTTATTTATTTGTGCATACAAGAAATAGAATACAAGTGGTGAGAGGATTCACCAGAGACAGAACAGGGAGGAGAACAGGCAGCCTGACTGAAATACAGCACTAAGGGGCACAGGGGGCAAAACATGAGAGAGGTCTGCTGCACCATTTGGGTCAGCTTCCTGGCCTGGGATTGAACTCGTGCTGCAGTGGTTGCCGATAACTTCATAGTGCTGCATGTTAACCGTTTGCACCATCAGGGAGAGCCCCTTAAGGTGCTACTTTTAAATGGCATATATTAAAAGTTTAATAGTACTCTTTACAATTATCAATTCCAACAACTTTCTCAAGTAAATAGTATTTCCAGTTTATCAGTGAGCTAGTCGGAGTTCAGCAAAGATGAGATGACTTGCATCACTGGCCCTGGCTTAAAGACCTAAGTTCCTATCATTGTGATTCTCCATCTGCTGGTCTCTGTATTAACCAATGAGCCCCGCCCACTGCGGAAAGTCTAGCTTACCCCTGCAGTTCACTAATCTTCAGGTGACCTCTTTCAATCTGAGCCCTCACTCTTTTGGATTGGAATCAGATTTTTTAAGATGTATGCAGTCAGCTTTGCTCTTTGAACTCAAAAGTGCCATGGGAGCAGCTGTAAGATAGGAGTGTGAATTAGCCACCTGCAGTTCCATCTGGTCACAGTTTTTTGTTTTAAGATTTTATTTATTTGTGCATACAGAACTGGGGTACAGGCCAGAGGCTCAGGGGCGGTGAGAGGATTCACCAGAGACAGAGTGGGGAGCAGAACAGGCAGATCGATGAAGTACACTGCTGAGGGGAGCAGTGGGCGGGTCAGGAGAGGTCTGTCACGCCATGTGGTCACCTCTGGGGCAGGCGGGGATCGAACTCATGCGGAAGTGGCTTTAGCTTTTCAGTGCTGTGCTTTAACCTGCTGCGCCACCAGGGAGGGCCATCTGGTCACAGTTTTAAAAAATGTAAAAAAATATTTTTAAGTCACAGTGAA